TCCGCGGTGAGCAATCATTGCCATAGACGGGAACAACTAGGGAATTAAAATCAACATAGAGGTCATAGAGGTCTTGGAGCAACAGCAGTCTACTTGAGAGGAATTAATAAAAGGCAAAAGAAGGGCAAGCGTGATGGGACAGAAGGAAGGTGAAAGGAAACAGGAAAGATCTAGGAAACAAAGCTATGGATAGGTATAAACATAGGTTATGTACATTTTTAAATATATTAGTTCATAAAAACAGTTATTGGCATAGGTACATATATTTATATGGCAATACAGTGGGGAAGTGGACGGACTTTGGGGCTCTGCTCAAGCCCTCCCTCAATGCAAGAACACTTTGTTCTAACAACATGGCATTCTGTGATACTCACCCTCCCGACACGATCGCTGAAGACAAATAGCAAATGTGGTGAAGAAAGATGATGGTGCCCAGCTATCAAAAGATATAGCATCTGGGGTTTTAAAGGCTTGAAGTTAAACAAGCAGTCATCTAGCTGAGAAGCAACCAGCTCACATGGAAGAAGCACACCAGCCTGTGTAATCATGAGGTGTTGATAGGATTAGGTACCAGGCATCAGAAGACCCAAAACAAACATTGATGTGAATGACAGGGGTCAGAGTGGAGACCCAAAGCCCATCTGTAGACAATTGGACATCACCTCACAAAAGGGTCACAAGGAAGGGATGAGCCAGTGAGGGTGCTGTATAGCACCGAGGAAACCCAACGTTCCTCTGGTTCTTTAATGCTTCTTTCCCCCCACTATCATGACCCCAGTTCTACCTTACAAATCCAACTAGATCAGAGCATGTACACTGGTACAGAGAAGAGCTCTTGACACATGCTATCCAGGACAGATAAACCCCTCAGGAACAGTAATAGGAATAGTGATACCACGAGGTAAGGGGAAGTTGTGGGGAGAAGGGGGAAAAAGAGGGAACCGATCACAATGATTGATGTATATCCCCTACCCCCGAGGGGGGATGAACAGCAGAAACCGTGGGGGAAGGGAGACGGTGGTTGGTGTAAGACAGGGGTCCTCAAACTTTTTAAACGGGGCCAGTTCACTGTCCCTCAGACTGTTGGAGGGCTGGATTATAGTTAAAAAAAAAAAAGAACAAATTCCTTTGCACACTGCACATATCTTATTTTGAAGTAAAAAAACCAAATGGGACAAAAACACCTGGTGGGCCAAATAAATGCCCTCTGCGGGCCGCATGTGGCCCGCGGGCTGTAGTTTGAGGACCCCTGGTATAACATGAAAATAATATTAATTTATAATTTAGCAAGGAGTCACGAAGGTGGGAGAGGAAAAAAGCTATACTAAGGGCTCAAACAGAAATAAATGTTTAGAAAATGGTAATGGCAACATATATACAAATATGCCTAATACAATTGATGTGTGGATTGTTGTAAGAGCCCCCAGTAAAATGAATTTAAAAAAGAAAGATATTCAGACTTTATCCCAGGAGGCACAAGCTGGCACATTTAAGATTTAATATGTAAACTTGAAATTAGGGATTACATTTTTTCTCATCCCTATGTTGTTAGCACTTTGGTACATAGTAGGATCCCACTCATGATTGAGTGAGTAATTCTCACCTACTCAACTTTGCTTATAAATATCAGTTTTGAAGATTTTCAAAAGGTGGCACTGAAAAAAACCACTTTCCTCCATATAGAGAAAATTTAGCTGTTTGACTTATTTTCTTCTGTTTTTGAAAAAAATAATTGTAAGAAAGTAGATTATGGAAGCATGAGTGATTCTGTGGTAGAACTCTTGCCTTCCCTGCTGCCAGAGGCTCAGGCTCAGTCCCCAGCCAGTGCACCTCATCTGCAGCCATCATCAATCTGCCTGGGAAGGCTGGCATGCTGCTGTGATGGTGAGTGGGTCTCAGAGGAACTTCAACGCAAAGACAAGTAGTAAGAAAGGTCTGGTGATCTGTTTTCCAAAATCAGCCAATGAAAACCTCATAGATCTCAATGGTCCGAACCATCACCAAGTGTGAGGCTGGTGCGGGACCTGGCAACGGGTTGTGCTGCTGTGCATGGGCTCACCAGGAGCTGGCAGCTAGGAACAATAGCCCCAGGAAGCAAACAGTCCCTTACCCTTGTCAGGCTGGTCATTGGAGAGCACACCTTAACTTCCTTAATAGATAAAATTTGGGCAGGACTGCATATTTAGATTAGAATCTAAAGTAAGAATCAACTGTACCTCTTAAAATATCCTTTAAAAACAGCAATTAATTGGGCTTTATTCATATTATTCATATTTATTACATGAAAGACCACACCTGATTCTGTATTGATAGATCCATTTATATGTATAGTGTAATGTATCAGAAACATCATTATTATATGTGCCAATAATGCCTCTGCAATTGTAGTTTTCAGACTTTTCCTACTAAAGTTTGTACTCAGTAAAATAAATGGATCTATTTGTAGCATTGACTTTGACGTAGCAGAGAAAATGTGAGGTAGCCCAGCTAAGCCAAGGACCTAGCTTTTTAGTATTTGTAACTGCTTAATATTTGTTGCCCTTGTGTGGTTCACACAGTTGACATGCTTGACCTAACTGAAAGGTTAGTGGCTCATGTCCACTCAGGCACGTTGGAGGAAGGCTTGGCAGTCTGCTGCTGCACCATCAGCCCTTGAGAATTCCCTGGGGCCACAGCTCTGCTCTGACACGCACCCACAGGCCACCATGCGTCACCAACAACTGGTCAAATACTGCTCTGGGAAATGGTTTTCAAAATAAGGGTGGGGGATCATTCACATTTGTTTCATCTGGGATACTTGATTTCTGAGGCCCGTCTCAAACGTACTGTATCCAAATTTCTGCCCTTCTAAGGAGTTCACCAAGTAATTAATTATTATTACTGCCAAAATTAAGGATTCCTATTTTAAGACAGTAAAGCACCTGAGAATACAAGTTAGCTTTATCAAGGAATCTCTAACATTACCCTGTCTTTTTGTTTTTCCACAGTCTATCCAGCAGACTCCTATTTCAGATCTAGGTACCCCAGTTGTTTCCACTGTTTAGCTGTGGTGCAAAACTGATTAGTATCTCCAGCATCACATGCCCTTTACAGTCTAATTCTTAGATATTCTTTCATTCTTTTCCCTTGTTCTTTAGCCAGCAGCCGTTTACAACTTTCCCCTGTTTCCCAAAGACTTTATGGTCTTGCAAATGCTATTTTGGCTGCCTAAAATACCAAAGTGGCCGTTCTTCCCCTGACATTCTGTATCCCCCCCCCTTCATTTTAGGGCCAACTCAGATGTCACTTCTTGAGTAAGGTCCTCAGTTCCCTAGGCAGAGCTAATATCCAATGTTGTGTGATCGCATTTTGTCTAGTGCTCTAGTGCCTTGATCCCAGGAGGCACAAGCCAGCACAGGATGACTTGCAGTTATCTATTTCTTCCCGTAGACTGTGAACTCTTAGAAAGGCAGTGAACTGTTGTTTTCACGTTTGTATTTCTCTGTGGGGCACTCAGTAATTGCTTTTCAATGCATAAATAAATGAGTTGTCTTAGTATGGGCATCCATTAACTTGTCATATTTGGTTTTTCTTAGTTGTTTTGTGTTTTCTAATTGTAGTTTTGTTTGCATCACATCTTTTTTAAAAAAAAAGTTTTATTGGGGGCTCGTACAACTCTTATCACAATCCATACATCCATCCGTCGTGTCAAGCACATTTGTTGCCATCATCATTCTCAAAACATTTTCTTTCTGCTTGGTATCATATCTTTCCCTTGGTATCACATCTTTCCCTTGGTATCAGATCCTCATTTTTCCTCCTCCCTCCCCCACCCTCCTTCCCTCATGGACCCTTGATAATTTAAAAATTATTGTTATATTTTTGTGTCTTACACTGTCCAGTGTTTCCCTTCACCCACTTTTCTGTTGTCTATCCCCCAGGGAGGGGGTTACATGTAGCTCATTGTGATGGGTTCCCCCTTTCTTCCTTCCCCTTCCCCTTACTCTCCTGGTATCACGCTCTCAGTATTGGTCCTGAGGGGTTTATCTATCCTGGATTCCCTGTGTTTCCAGCTCTGATCTGTACCCGTGTACATGCTTTGGTCTAGCCGGATTTGTAAGGTAGAATTGAGGTCATGATAGTGGAGGGAGGAAGCATTAAGAACAAGAGGAAAGTTGTATGTTTCATTGGTGCTATACTGCACCTTGAGTGCCTCGTCTCTTCCTTGTGACCCTTCTGTAAGGGGATGTCCAATTGCCTACAGATGGGCTTTGGGTCTCCACTCCGCACTCTCCCTCATTTACAATGATTTGATTTTTTGTTCTTTAATGCCTGATATGCTATCCCATCAACACCTCATGATCACACAGGCTGGTGTGCTTCTTCCATGTGGGCTTTGTTGCTTCTGAGCTAGATGGCTGCTTGTTTACCTTCAAGCCTTTAAGACTCCAGACGCTATGTCTTTTGATAGCCGGGCACCATCAACTTTCTTCACATTTGCTTATCACATTTTCATATAGAATGTAAATAATGCATGTTAAGGAATTTTTTCAGACATTGTTTTATTTACTTGTTTCTAAAATAGATTCTGACATCAAAGCACTTGAAGATCAGTTTGATGAAATCATAGTAGATATTGCCATGAAGCGGAAGCAGTATCCCAGAAAGATCCTTGAATATGTCATCAACACCATAAAAACAAAACAAGAAAACCTGGTAAGATGATTTACTTTTAAAATTCAAGTGTAAGAGAGAAGATTAATTTACTCTATGAATTTTCACCCAAACCACAATGAGATGTTATAAAAACAAGTGTAAAGTCCACATGGAGATAAATATTTTTTGTTCTCTGTCTTTTCTTCCTGCTTTAATAACTACTATTTGTCTCTTGTAAGGCTTTTTCTGTTCCTATCCATACTAGGTTTCGAACATAGATGATATTAAATAGAAATGGAAGATAAGAGACTTGAAATGCTGTAGATAGATAGACACACACACACATCAGGAAAGGCAAATGTAGGTACCCTTTGATCCTTTTCTATTTGTCATTTCTCTTTGGCAGATCATTTTTTTATGTTTGTATAGATTGATGCTGAAGATGATTTGAGTACTTGTTCAGGACATTGAGATTTACTATATGAATAAAACTGAGTGTCATTTGTTTTTCTCCCAAAGTTTTGACTGTCATGCACACAAGACCAGGAAGAAACAGCTTCTTTAGCTTGAGTTTTCTAAACAGGCACAACAGCAGGCTTGCTTCTTATCTATTTATTATCCATTGACATCAGTAAGAAACTCTGGTGCCATAGTGAGTTTCCCATTGGGCTGCTAACTGTGAGGTCAGGAGTTCAAACCCACCAATTTATGAGGCTGTCTGTTTCCAGAAAGATTTACATTCTTGGAAACCCAAAAGAGCAGTTCTTCTCTGTCCTCTAGGGCCTCTGTGACTTGAAATAAATCAATTTCTAGATCAGAAATGAACAAGATTGTCTTATAAACAAATTAGGTTGGATGACATTGCCCATGAGCAACAAACTTGTTGTTTTTAGATTATACTATACAGTACTGCTTGTCCTTACTTTCTGAAGTTCGTATGGTTTCACCTACTTGAAAATCTTCTAATGGCCTGTTTTAGGGTATTGTAGGGCAGGCTTAATACTTAATAGGTTTAAGGCCCTGCCTGGGTGGTGATGGGCAGGTGCTGAGTGTGCAATACCAGCTTAGGTGCTCTGGTGCTTTGGAGGGAGGGAAGTAGTGAAAAGGACGCTGGAGGAAGGGGGACGGAGGCTGCCCACCGCCACAGTGGCCTCTTGGTGCTACTTCTTCTTTTCTAGCCTCCCATCCTCCTCCACCCTTCAGCCCCATGGCCTAGTGGGGTTCTGCCAGACCACTCAGGAATAATCCCTGAGCCATGGCCTCTTGAGGTTAGATGCCCTGTCCCCATTAGAGTCTATTAGAAACGAGTTTCAAGCCTATCAGAGATAGCGGAAGGCCGTGGCTTGGGACTGCCTGCGAGGCCTCTAGTCTTGAGGCCGCTTGGTCAGAGCTTCTTTCCTACCTTTGGAGAATTTAGCCTTCCCCCTGAGGAACCAAGACCTCTCTCCATCAGACTTTCCTCAGATAGGGCCCTCTTGCCCTAAATATACCCAGCAAGACTCACTGGGTGAAATAATTGAGTTAGGAATTAGAAAGCCTATATTGTGCTCTAGCCTATGAGGAAAAAAAAAAACACTTTCTGATGGGGTCAGGTCATGTGAGAAGTCCATGAGGTTTTGGAAGCTTAAAAAAAAATAAACCAAACACTGAGTTGCCTTGGATGTGTCATTTGAACCCCAGTGAGCCTCTGTCTCCAAATCTGTAAAGTGGGGATGGAAAGCTGACCCAAATGAATATGCAAATTATAGAACAATATTGTTGATGCACATGGAAGAAAAAATTTTGAAGATCAACAAGAGTTGTAGCAGCACATGATAAGGAAGTGCCAGAGACGCAGGCCAGATTTAGAAGAGGACAAGGAAAAGGGGCTGCATTGCTGACGTCAGACGCATCTTGGCTGAAAGCAGAGAACACAAGAAAGAAAGAAGTGTTTCAGTGACCATGCATAGCCCTGAGAAGAATGGGAATCCCGGTCACCTTGTTGTGCTATGCGGCACTGTTACATGGAGCAAGAGGCAGAGTTGTGCAAACAGAACAGAGGAATACTGCATGGTTTAAAATCAGAAGTGTGTGTCAGCGTTGTTTCCTCACCACATTTAAGTCAATCTGTATGATGAGCATTTAATCAGGGAAGCTGGATTATACGAAGAAGAATGTGGTATCAAGATTGTAGCAAGGCTTATTAATAAGCAAGGCTTAGTATTAACAATATGTAGGTGAAACAACCTAGCTTGCTTTAAGTGAGGCAGTCTTAAAATACTTGCTGATGAATATCAAGGATTGCAGCCCTCAGGGTGGAATACAACTCATTGTAAAGCAGTGGTTCTCAGCCTTCCTAATGTCGCGACCCTTAATACAGTTCCTCATGTTGTGGAGACCCCCCAACCATAAAGTTATTTTCATTGCTACTTCATCACTGTAATTTTGCTACTGTTAGGAATCAGGCGACCCTGTGAAAGGGTTGTTCGACCCCCTAAGGGGTTGTGACCCACAGGTTGAGAACTCCTGGTGTAAAGAAAACCCAAATCCCCAGCATCATGGTAAATGAAGAAAAGATTGAAGTTGTTGAAGATTTCCTCTTGCTTGCATCCTCAAGCAGTGTTAGGGAAGCAGCAGCTAAGAGATAAATTATGCATTGCAATGGCTAAATCTGCATAAGGCCTTTTAAAATTGTTAAAAGCCAGGATGTTACTTTGAGGACTAAGGTCAGCCTAACCCAAGCCATGGTATTTTCAGTTGCTTTGTATGTCAAAGTTTGACACTAAATAAGGAAGACAAGAATTGATTTGTTTGAATTATGGGGCTGGCAAAAAAATTGAAAATACTATGAACTGCCAAAAGAACCAACAAATCAGTCTTGGAAGAAGTACAGTCAGAATGCATCTTAGAGACAAGGATGGCGAGATTTCATCTCATGTACTTCGGACATGTTGTCAGAAGAGACCAGTTCCATGGAGAAGGACATCATGTTTGGTTAGGTGCAGGAACATCGAAACAGAAAGGCCCTCAATGAGATGGATTGATTTAGTGGCGCCAACAATGGGCTCAGATATAAGCACAATTGCAAGGATGGTGCCGAGCTGGGTGGTGGCTTATTCTGTGAGTTAGAGTGGCCTTCACAGCACCGGACAGCAACAGCACAGGGTCCCGTGAGAGCTCTGATGCAAAGATTATAAAAACTATGGAGATTGTTTTTACCTGATGGTAAGTGCAGGCTACAGGACTTGTGTCGCCGAGGCTAGAGCTTGACTCTGGAGAAAGCAAAAGAAGAATGGCAGTCTGGTGAAGAGGCAGAGAGGTTTGAGGGGCTGAATCCTGCTTGTTTGAGTACAAGCCTTTAAAACCCCAGACACTATTCCAATTGATAGCCGGGCCCCATCTACTTTCTTCACCACACTGTGCTCCTGCACCCCATTTCATGAAAGTAAGTATTGAGCAGGGCCATGATGTAAGAACGGAAAGAACTGATTGTTCTTAGGCTGGAGCTAGGATTTAGTGCAAGCCCAGAACTCATTCCTGGATTTTTGCTTCTTTTTTTTTTTTGCTGTAATTTGTTATTTAATATATATGTCATTCATTCCATAGTTCAGTCATGTCAAACATAATTGTACAATTGGTTCCATAATCAGTCTCCAAGCATAATTTCCCTTCCTGGGCTTCTTGACATCATCTCCTTCTTATCTTCCCTTCCCCTTCATATCTCCCCTCCCCTCAAGCCCTTGATATGTTTTCTCTCCCTATAGGCTCAACGTCCCTGGCTTTCATTTACTGAGAAACAGAAAGAACACAGCTTCAAGAGGGTGACCCCCAATGGCGGCACGCCTCTGAGATACACCCTAATATACAAAGCATAGGCAGAATATGACAGAATGGCTGTCACAGGATTGCCAAAAAATACATATCTTAATACAGCATACAGGCATGGCGCTGATGTAGCAAGATCTCGTTTGTCTGCCAAGCAACAATACACTTGGTATGGCTGTCTTCTGCTTTCTAAGGCACCGTGTGTTTTCCTGCTTAAGTCCTTCGGTTACAGGTGTGTCTGAATTAGCATCCAGTTCAACCAGGGAGTTCCCAATGGAGTCTCATCGATGCAGCCTCTGGAGCATGCCATGCACCCCGAAGATGCAGGATTCATTGTCCCAGTGCTCTACAGCATCTGGCCTGGGTTCCTGGGATACTCCCAGATGCCCTCTGTCCATTCTGCTCACCCGCTGCTCGCCACTAAAGACCCTCCCCACCTAATGTTCCCCAAAGTCTCTCCTCCTTAGTCTCTTCTCCCCCCACAGCGAGGTCAGCCCTCCCTCCCCTCCCTTCAATAGACATGCACCTATGCTCCCCCAAACAACCATTCTCATCAGTAGGCCTCATCCCTTTGACAGGCCACCTCCTCCAGACCCACATGGCTACCACTCTGCAGGCAGCATTCTTTCTACCCCCAGGTGTCATGAGATGCCTGCCCTCTGGTCAAGTGACCTACCCCATACTTCCCTAGATCAAATGGTGTGCGGTTCATTAGCACTGGCCTGTGTCTTTACCAGGCTGTCTGGTCCTGGCTAGTAGACTGGATGCCCTGCAAGCTTGAGCTTGTGCCCGTTCTGTTGCTTGTTTTACCGCAGTGGACTCATCCGGTATTTGCCCTTTTGTGCTTGACCAACTTCACTCAGCATACTGTCTTCCAGCTCCTTTCATGTGTTGAGGCGTTTCATGGCTTCAGCACTGTTTTTTTAGGGAAACATAGTATTCCATTGGGTGTATAGATGTTATCAAATGATTTTTCTGTATCAATTGATATGATCTTATGATTCTTGTCCTTTTTCTTGTTAATATGGTGGATTACATTGTTTTTTGAATATTGAACTATCCCTGCTGCCTTGGTACGAATCCACTTGGTCATGCTGTATTATGTTTTTGAGATGTTGGATTCTATTAGCCAGGATTTTGTTGAGGATTGTTGCATCTATGTTCATGACAGATAATAGGTGTGTAGTTCTCTATCCTTTGGGGTCTTTGTCCCGTTTTGGTATCAGTGTTATGCTGGCTTCATAGAATGAGTTGGGAGTTTGCAGTCCCTTTCTGTGCCCTGGAAGAGTTTGTATAAGATTGGTGCCCACTCTTCCCTCAATGCTTGATAGAATTCTCCTGTGAAGCCATCTGGACCGGGGGTTTTGTAGTTGGGAGTTTCCTGATGACCTTATCTATTCTTTTCCTATGGGTCTGCTCAAGTTCTTAATGTCCATGTATGAAAATTTAGGGGAGAGTGTTTTTCTAGGTATTTGCCCATGTCCTTCAAGTTATTGGATTTGTTACAATACAAATTTTGTAGTACTGTGTTATTAGGGTCTGTTGTGACTTCCACTGTTTCATCCCTAATTCTTGATATTAAAGTCTGCTCCTTCTTTTTCTTTGTTAAGTTTGCTAGTGGTTTCTCAATTTTGTTAATCCTTTTAAGGAACCAGCTTCTTGTTTTGTTAATTTTTTCCAATGTTCTTCTGTTTTCTAGGTAATTTATTTCTGATCTTATTTTTATGATTTTTCTTCTCTTGCCCTTAGAGGGATTCTGCTGTTGCTTCTGTTCTAATTGTTGGAGGTGCTGTGGTAAGGACATGGCCATGGTTCTCTCCTCCTTTTTCATGTGTGCATTTATTGTAATAAAGTAACCTCTGATAACTGCTTTTACTGTGTCCCATAGGTTTTGGTATGTTGTGTTATCATTCTCGTTAGCTTCTAGGAATTTCCTCTTATTTGGACTATTACCCGTTCCTTTTTGAGAAGTGAATTATTGAGTGTCCAAGTTATTGCCTTTATCTGTCTATTCTTTTTATTGCTGATTTCCAGCTTAATGACACAGTGGTCAGAGAAGATGGATTGAATGACCTCTGTGTTTGGATTTTCTCAAACTTGCTTTATGTCCCGGCATGTGGTCTATTCTAGAATATGAGCCATGTGCATTGCAGAAGAATGTGTTTTGTTTTGTTTTTGCTGATGGATGGAGAGCTCTGTAAATATCTATGAGGTCAAATTGGTCGATTGTCTTGGTTAGCTCTTTTTTACTTTTATTGAGTTCTTCCCTATTGATCTATCTTTTTTTGAGAGTGGCATATTTAAATCACCTACAGTAATTGTTGATCTAGTGACTTCTCCTTTTATCTCATTGAGGATTTGGTTGACGAATTTTGAGGGTCTTTCATTGGGTGCAATTAATTATGGTATGTGTTCTTGGTCTGTTGACGCCTTGAGCATGATGTAATAATGCCTATTCTTGTCAAATCATTTTATGCTGCATTTCTTAGTATAAACAGTAGGTGGCAATACTACAAAAGCTGTAATTCAGTCTTTGATGGGCTGTTCTTTTCCTCTGCTTTTCCTATAAATGTCAGGATCTAGGAAATATATGCATGTATGTTGTTTTTTGTTGCAAATGTATGGTACTAGTGACTCTCTACGGGTAAGTAAAAAAGTATTTCTATCAGTGGTCTACTTCCTGTATGCATGGGTTTATTCCAACCAAAAAATGCCTGAGCATATCTCTGATCAGTGCTTGGCAGCAGACTAGTTCTCTCCACGATACACTTTCCTTCGTCTCCGTAGGGTGCCTTCAAAAAATGATACAGTCTAAGCAGTGGCTTCCATGGGAATCGTTGTTCAAGGAGAGAGGTCAGTTCAGAAGGTGATGGCAGCTGTTTTTTGGGATTCCAAACAAACCGGTAATCTTGACCAATTTTCTTGAAGGACACATGATGATTACAGGAACTTGAGTTTTAAAAAAATTGGAAGCTGCATTGATGACAAAAAGTCCAGGAAAGCTGCCCTGAGGCATTTTGTCTCGTCATGACAGCTGCTTTGCGGGTAGAAAAGCTGTCCACGAGATTCTTTCTTTTGAAACCTTACCCTAGTCATCCCAAACTCTTGAAAATCTGACCTTGTCCCAATCTTATCCTCTCATGCATGTTTTTGTTCCTCAAACTCAAAGAATATTTAAAAAACGAACACGATTTGAGTCCCTCAAGAATTCACAAACTGCCATTTGACATGGTGTAAGTCACAGAGTACAGAATCCTTCGGGCAGGAGTTAGGGAGCTGGAAACACTGGAATGCAGAAGTGTATAGCTAGTCTAGAGAGAGAGAATATGTCCAGAAATGGCAGTTTCACCTGCGGATTTTTGTCTTCTAAGTTGTGAAAGATTTTATTTGAATTGGAGTTACAGTCACTGCCCATGGGAGTAGCAGTCAAGAAATCAAATGACATATTGCACTAGACAAATCTGCTGCACACGACCTCTTTAAAGTGTTAAAGAGCAAAGATGTCACTTTGAAGGCTAAAGTGTGCGTGGCCAAAGCCATGTATTTTTTATTTTTTTAAATTGTTACATTAGTTTTATTACAGTGGTGGGAAGTGAACCAGACACAAATCCAAGGTATGCCTGTAGTCTTTCTAGCCGGAATTTCAGAATGCCTACAGGACCTCTAGGGAACCCCTGGTGGTGTAGTAGTGAAGCATTAGGCTGCAAAGATGGAGCTTTCTCCTCCTGTAAAGAGTGATAGTCTTGGAAACTCACAAAGGCAGTTGTACCTGCTGCCCTGCAGGGGCACAATGAGTTGGCATTGACTCAATAGCCGTGAGTTTGGTTTTGGTAGGAAATCTATCACATTTGGATATCTTTGTATAATAAAGGTTTCACTGGCTTTATAGTAATACTTACTGACTCAGCAGTGTCTACTGCATTAGCTAAAGGAAATGTATATATGAGGCACTAAGTGATTAAATAGTTACTGTCTTCTGTTTTCATTTATATTGTGTTTAGAAGCGGTACCACCCTGTTGTACACCCATTGGACCTAAAATATGACCCTGATCCAGGTGAGTCAGTGTTCATTTGTGCTACAACTGAAACATCAGCTTATAGTTTTATAAGTCTCAGATAGTCTTGTAGTGGTATCTGCATCAAGGACACCATGCGTTTGACGGTCTAATCTACTATTGGATGGTCTAATCCTCTATCAGACACCCATTTTTAGCTCTTCACTTAGGATTATGAGGATTTATTCTGAAGGTACTAAATCAGACTCTGCAGTGAAGGACCCATGAGTCAGAATTTTATAGAGACCTGACTTAGACTGTTACAGCACCCTCCCATCTCTGACTGCCTTTAAAAATGTATACTTTTTGCATTCCAGACAAACTTTTGCTCTCGAGGCCCTCTTTCATGTAACTAGGGGCTCCTCATTACTTACGAATAAAATTCAACTGAAAGGACAGCATTGAATTATGAGATGAGAATATACTAGCCACATCTTGGATCGCTATTCTGTTTCCTTTTAGATGTAACCTCTAAATGCATTTTAGAGAAATAAATTGATGCAGACTTGTAACAGCAACAAGTGGCATTGCTGAAAATGGGGATCATGACATTTTTTAACAGTTCTATCCTTATTTTTTTTAATTTGTAACATATCTTACTAGTAGACCTTTGGGAATTTGTTGTTGGTACTTTCAAAAGTGTTATATTTGAACTGTTAGGTCAAACCAAAATAGCCAATCAATTAAATTCTTGGTTTATTTGGCTGGAGTATTTAAACATATGACTTTAAATACCTTCCCTTTTTTAGTCAATTACATTTTTAAGCTCCCCCCATATTCCTTTATGCAGTTTACATGAATTGAAAGCGGTGAATCTGGAGATGGAGAGACAGTACAACTGCTTTAATGGCTTGTGAGGGTGTGGCTGGGGAGGTTGAGGAAAATGGGTAGGGTAATAACAGTGAGTACAAGAAAGAAGAAATTGTTCTAAAATTGATTGTGATACTGATGGTACAACTCTTGATATGGTTGTACTATTGAATTGTATGATATTTGGATGATGTGCCAATAAAACTTTTAAAATTGAGGGTGGAAAAACAAGCATAGAGCTACTCTGAATTTGGTTAAAATTATAGTATTCAACATGTTAGGCCTAGGTCACGGGTCACTAAAAGGGGTAATTAGCCTAAATCCAATGGTTAGCATAGATTCATTTGGATATTATACATTATGGAAATAGCAATTGAAACTTGTAGTGTCATGCACTCAAGTATTATTTTATAGAGACAGTTTATTGTCCTTTATAAGCAAAAACCCTGTGACTGTGTTTGTGGTTTTAATCATAAGGAAAATTTTCTACTTAAATGACCCTTTAAAGGCCTAGATAATTTTTATTCCCACCATTACATTTATGTACTCCTAGTGGAGACCCCCTTTTAAAAAACTAGTTTTGGTGAAAGCTTACATAGCAAGTTAAGTGCTTATTTGACAGTTTCCATATACCGAGTTAACATTTTCCACTACATTTCAGTCATCTCTCTAATTTCATTCTGGTTGTTCCTTTTCCACTAGATAACTCTAGTTATCTTTTGGTCCAAATGTAAGGACTTGTCATTCGTCATCTTTTTCATAATCTTTACAAACTTGGAATACAGTGTCTGTTTGGTGAAGACATCATGGGCAAAGCACTTGTCCTCTGCAAGCCTCTATCTCTTTATTAGGAAAACAGTTAAATTTTAGACTTGGAACCTTGTCTCTGAATCCAGCTGTCATTAAATATGCCAAATGTCCTGCCTATCCTTTTTAAGTACTAATCAAGGCAATCAAATGAGATAAGGGGCTGTATCAACTGCCTACAATAATACATGAGTAGTAGTTTGTAAAAACCCAACCAAGAACCATACTCACTGCCATCCACTGGATCCCGACTCATAGCAACCCTGTCGGAAAGAGTAAAGCTGCCCTTGTGGGTTTCCGAGGCTACAAATCTCTACAGGAACAGAAATCCTCATCTTTTTCCTTTGGAGCCGCTGGTGGGTTCTAGCTGCTGAGCTTGCGGCTCAACACGATATTCACTGTGCCACCAGCACTTCTCTAGTTTGTAAGGAGATGCTTTAGCCCCCAAACCCCACGGCTTTCAAGTCACTTTTGACTCAGAGGCCCTATGGAACAGAGTAGAACTGCCCCACAGGGTTCACAATGCTGCAGTGGAGTCCGTTGACATAATGTAACATCGTGTTGTACATCCTAGTTTGGTGAATAGTGTCTGCTGTCTTCAAAGCTTGCAAGTGGCCACCTGAGCCCCATACGGAGCAAAGGAGGTTGAAGGAAACCAAAAATTCAATTGGAAAAGACTAGTCTTTTCAACACATTGTGCTTGGACAAATGAAATTCCCAGCAAGTGGATTTGGCCCCCTTCTTGGTAATCATTTGGCACAGATTTAATGAGTTTTTTCCGAACTCTCAATTCAACCCCTTGGTTTACATGCCTGCCCTTCAACTATTCTCACATTGTTTTAATCGCTGTAACTTGAGTTTTTGTGAAAATACTACAACAAAATATTTCACCTGATCACAATTTCTATATTCATTTTAGTGACATTGAATAAAGTTTTCCTGTCACTATTGCTATCTTTTCCCAAATTTTTCCACAGCCTTTAACATAAACTCAGTGCTCCTTGAGCAGAAACTTCTCCTTTCTCCTTCCCTCCCACCCTTGGTAACCACTAAACATCTTTGGTTCCTTATATTCATATTTACTTATTTCATAAGATCATGTAGTGTTTGTCCTTTTGCAACTGATTTATTTTGCTCAGCATGTTTTCAAGTTTCAGCCACGTGTGGGTGACATGCTTCAGAACTTTATTTATCTTTGTGTACCAGTTTGTATATCCCTTCATCTATTGATGGACGTTTGGTTTCCACCTTTTGGCTGTTGTGAAAAGTGCTGCAGTAAACGTTGGTGTGCAGGTTTCTGTGTATGTTCCTTCTTTCACTTCTGGGTGTATACCTAGGATTGGGATTGCTAGGTCCTGTGGTAGTTCTATATTCTGGTCTTTTGAGGAAGTGCCAAACTTTTCCACTGTGGCTGAACCACTCTTACATCCCTGCTTGGAAAAGATGAAGCTTCCGGTTGGTCTGCAATCTTCCCAGCCTCTCGCTTTCATCTTTCCCTCTTTGCCATTCTTTGGGGATTAGGGTGGTTGATTATGGCAGCTTTAAAGCACGTTTGAAATCAGGAACTGTGAGTCTTCACACTTTGTTCTTCTCTTCAAGGTGGTTTGGGAATACCATTATCTTTTAACACGTTAACAGGTGTAATTCACATCCCCTTTAACTCATACTTGGAAAGCATAAAATTCAATGATATATAGTAGAGTCACCACAATTAATTTTAGAACATTTTCATCACCCCAGAAGGAGACCCCAACATCCCTCAGAAATGATCCTCAGTCACCTCTAACCCTATACCTGGCCTTGGCAGCCAGTAATTTTCTGTGTCTGTGGAGCTCCTCTTTGGGGGATTTCATCATGTGGAATCAGATAGGATCTTTTGTCAGTGCCTTATTAGTGTAATATTTCAAGGTGGGTGTGAAATGTCCCATTTCCTTGATGGCTAAAAATGTTGAACATCTTTTCTTGCATTTAAGCATGACTCACTATCAGTTTCTGTTCAAAGTGTGACCACATCAGAACCTTCGCTCGCATCATTTCTCTGTCATGTTTGTTTTCCATCACTCCCCCACTGGATTGTAAGCACCCTACAGACACACTTTGCTGGCCCACTTCTGTATTCACAGCTTCAAGATCATTAGCACACACAGTTAACATTTACTATCATTAGCATACCCAGTAAACACTTATTAATTAAATGGGTAATTTTACAAAAACAGAATCATATGAGCATACTTTAAAAACCCTTTTGGTTGTGGATTAGGTGAAAGTTTTACATTCAGCCGTTCTACACACATCCACGCAAACGTACTTAAAGAAAAACTAACCTAAACTGAAAAACAAAGGTAGCATTTAATTTTGTGCTGTTGTTTTGGCTTCGTCCTCCACTTCCTGTCTGCTACTGCTTCAGAAATCGATCCAATGTTAGTGTATGTATATATTTTCCCATTTAATGAACAGAGTGCTCTTATAAAAATCATGAAGAATGGCGAGGCAGAGCAAAGAGCATTTTTAGAGCTATGAAACTATTCTGCATGAGTCTCTAATAGTAGCATTTGTCAAAACCCCTAGGACTATACGATACAAAGAGCCAGTATAAACTGGGGCTGGGGGAGATAAACTGGTGGACTCTCAGCTAATGAGCATGCGTCAATACTGATCCCAAACGTACCCCAGGAAGAGATGAACAGTAGAGGACGGTACCGAGCAGAGGAGGGCTGTGTGGCAGCTGTTCTTTGAGCAGTGTCTCTGAAAGCTTAAAACTCCTCTGAAAAGTAGTCTTTTATGTTTAGCAAGCAAACGAATCATGCCAATCATCACTTACAATTCATAAGTTTTTTATTGGCTCAGGGGGAAAATACATGCGTATAATTTCAGACAGCATTTTTTTACATGATATACGTACGCTGTACCTTTTCAGATTCACTCATTTTAGGCTCTTTGCTACTCGCTCTCACCACATTGCTCATCTTTCCCATCTCTGAAAGAGTCTCACTTGCACACATGATTGTAACGTTAGCATCTTTTCAGTTAAATGCCATCTTCTCAGAGGGATCTTCCTTAACCATCCTAATTACAATATAAAAATAGCCTCTCTCCAGTTATTCTTTCTCATTTCTGTTGTCAGTCCAACTCATGGCAACCTTTTGTGTTCAACCTTACATCCTGTGGCATCTTCCTGGTCCTTGGTGTGTTTGAATCCACTGCTGTGGCTATGGAGTCAGCTCATGTCATTGAGGGCTCCCCAGTGACTTTACCACGCACGATACCCTTTTCTAGTGAGTGGGCTTTCCTGCTGATGTGTTTAAAGGAAGCGAGCCAAAATCATAATCGTCCTCACTCCTAAGGAGCCACTCGGGTTGTATTTCTTCAAAGACAGATTCTTT